TGCGGGCTGAAAGTTTGGTTTGGCTGTCTCCGACAGGAGATTCGAGTTGAAGACGACATTTTATAGAGGTTTTAAAATTAATGGTTAACAAATATATAAGCATAAGCCCAGTATTGAAAATATGAATACCAAACGAAATAACAGAAAGAATTAACTAAAAGGTTAAACTAAAATAAATAACTAAAAGGATAAACTAAATAGATAAACTAAAAGCAATAAATTACCTAGAAGGTTAAACTAAAAGAAATATGGAAGTAAGGAAAGCCGCAAAAGCTATAAATTAAATCCAAAAGGAAATTAAACGGTAAAGTTAAAAAAGAAATTATAGTAAATAAAGTCGAGGAAAAGTACTATCCTTAACAAGTAAAAAGGAAGGAGACTGGGAGAGGTTGACGGTCCAAGAGCTGGTATAGAAGTGAGGTAGAGTCGGGGGAGTAGTAACAACATGTGAGAAACGAGGAAGGAAAGGGTTACGGCAAAATCAGCAGTACTGTACATTCCTCGCAGTCGTCTTCTTCACAATATTTAACCACCTATCAATTAATAGATAGAAGCTTAAATACACATTTATTCTCTAAAATGTTTTTTTTTTTTCTCAAAAATGTTGTTTATTCCCTAAAATGTTGTTCATTCTCTAAAATGTTGTAAATTCTCAAAATGTTGTTAATTCTCTAAAATGTTGTTTATTCTCTAAAATGTTGTTTTTAATTCTCAAAAATGTTTTTTATTCTCAAAAATGTTGTTAATTCTCTAAAATGTTGTTTATTCTCTAAAATGTTGTTTATTCTCTAAAATGTTTTTAATTCTCAAAAATGTTTTTTATTCTCAAAAATGTTGTTAATTCTCTAAAATGTTGTTTATTCTCTAATATGTTGTTTATTCTCAAAAATATTGTTTATTCTCAAAAATGTTGTTTATTCTCAAAGATGTTGTTTATTCTCAAAAATGTTGTGCATTCTCAAAGATGTTGTTTATTTTCAAAAATGTTGTTTATTCTCTAAAATGTTGTTTATTCTCAAAAATGTTGTAAATTCTCAAAAATGTTGTGCATTCTCAAAGATGTTGTTTATTTTCAAAAATGTTTTTCATTCTCTAAAATGTTGTTCATTCTCAAAAATGTTGTAAATTCTCAAAAATGTTGTCTCAAAGATGTTGTTTATTCTCTAAAATGTTGTTTATTCTCTAAAATGTTGCATTCTCAAAGATGTTGTTTATTTTCAAAAATGTTTTTCATTCTCTAAAATGTTGTTCATTCTCAAAAATGTTGTAAATTCTCAAAAATGTTGTTTATTCTCTAAAATGTTGTTTATTCTCAAAAATGTTGTTTATTCTCTAAGATGTTGTTTATTCTCTAAAATGTTGTTCATTCTCTAAAATGTTGTAAATTCTCAAAAATGTTATTAATTCTCTAAAATATTGTTAATTCTCAAAATTATTCTCAAAGATGTTGTTTATTCTCTAAAATGTTGTTTATTCTCTAAAATGTTGCTTATTCTCTAAAATGTTGTTTATTTTCAAAAATGTTTTTCATTCTCTAAAATGTTGTTCATTCTCAAAAATGTTGTAAATTCTCTAAAATGTTGTTTATTCTCTAAAATGTTGTTTATTTTTAAAGATTTTGTTTATTCTCAAAGATGTTGTGCATTCTCATAGATGTTGTTTATTTTCAAAAATGTTGTTTATTCTCTAAAATGTTGTTTATTCTCTAAAATTTTGTTTATTCTCAGAAATGTTGTTTATTCTCAAAAATGTTGTTTATTCTCTAAAATGTTGTCTATTCTCTAAAATGTTGTTTATTCTCAAAAATGTTGTTTATTCTTAAAGATGTTGTTTATTCTCAAAGATGTTGTAAATTCTCAAAAATGTTGTGCATTCTCATAGATGTTGTTTATTTTCAAAAATGTTGTTTATTCTCTAAAATGTTTTTCATTCTCTAAAATGTTGTAAATTCTCAAAAATGTTGTTAATTCTCTAAAATGTTGTTTATTCTCTAAAATTTTGTTTATTCTCAAAAATGTTGTTTATTCTCTAAAATGTTGTTTATTCTCAAAAATGGTGTTAATTCTCTAAAATGTTGTTTATTCTCAGAAATGTTGTTTATTCTCAAAAATGTTGTTTATTCTCTAAAATGTTGTTTATTCTCAAAAATGTTGTTAATTCTCAAAAATGTTGTTTATTCTCTAAAATGTTGTTTATTCTCAAAAATGTTGTTTATTTTCAAAAATGTTGTTTATTCTCAAAAATGTTGTTTATTCTCAAAGATGTTGTTTATTCTCAAAGATGTTGTAAATTCTCAAAAATGTTGTTCATTCTCAAAGATGTTGTTTATTTTCAAAAATGTTGTTCATTCTCTGAAATGTTGCTCATTTACAAAAAACCGATGCCCATCTCTATATGTGTGCAGTATTATTGCACATCGTTTTCAGGACTGTTTTTTTAAACAAGGATATTTTTACTTTTAAGAGGCTTTTCAAGAATCTGTGATGTTTATCCTATTTCAAAATTGTTGGTGTCATAATTATTATTACACAGTATTTTTGAAAGTATTATTACACTTTATTTGTGCACAGACTCATGGACTCCATGGATAAAGGACTTAAAAATTCAATCTTATGAATAAATAAATAAATAAAAAAAAGGGATTATAATTACATGCTTACTTAACTTGAATCTTAACCCTAAAGTCTGGAGGTCTAAATGATAACTGTTCTCAAAATGTTAAATAAATAATGTTAAACCTAGACTTTTCACAAATAAAAATTGCCACATCATTTTTAGCAGACAATTTTTAAAAATCTTTTACCTATTTTCCCTTTTCCCCCTTTTTTGTTTCCTTCTTTTCATTCTCTTAACTTTCTTGTCATAGAATGAACCCCCCCCCCCCCTGTGCCCCACCTTATGGTTATACCAACTATTTAACTGCCTTCATTATTAACGTTGGTAAAAGTTAAGTTTATTAATGAGAGTTGTACTTTTTTATATATTAGAACCTAAAAAAACCGAGATTACCTAATCCGACTTTTGAGATGTATGATATTTACGGGTGCTATTTAGTGCTTAAAACTAAAAGGCAGTAGTTCATACTGCCTTTTAGTTTTAAGCTATTGAATTTTTGAACTATTGCTCGAATTTGAACCATTTCACGTGGTACCATGTATATATGTGTACAGTAGTTCTGCACGACCAATGTTCAAGTGATCAATAGTTCAAGCGGCAGTAGTTCAAATGCGGATCTTATTTACGCATTCAATCTTGAATGAAACAAGAACACAAAATTAATGATTATCTACTTCAATATAAAAATCTCTAAAATTATGCTTAAACACATAAAATATATATGTAGCATAACTCAAAAAGGATCATTAAGTACAATAAACAAATTCCTAATGAGAAGGTTTTTTTTTCAAATTTCCCCCATATCAATGCAATTTTCTCATGATGGATTTTATAAATAATTTGTATTTTTATTTATTCACAGCCCGCAAAAAGACTCTAAACGTTAAATTAAATATTCCAAAATAAAAGACGACGTCACCGTCATTCAAGAAATTCTGGTGGTGTATTTTTCGACCTACACATATCCGCTATACTCCACTTCTGACCTACGCCAAATCCGCTATACAACACATCCGACCTACTAGCACGTGGTTTTACAGCTGCGACATGGACATTTGGCCGCAGCGCCCGGCCCCCTAGCCTGTCCTAGCCGCGGCGCTCGGCCCCCTAGCCTGTTCTAGCCGCAGCGCTCGGCCCAGAAATTGTCTTAACCTAACCTAACCCTCAAATAATACAAAAATAAACAGCTGGCGTAGGTCCGATATTGCAGTAGGTCGGAAAGTTAGTAGGTCGGAAGTTCAGTAGGGGGGATATTGCGTATAGACGATGTAACATTACATTCTACAAAAGTGTACAGTGTACACTTCAGATATGGCGCGACTTTGGAAATTTATCATTAAATAACAGGTCTATGCGCTCTGCACTGTAGGTCAATGTGATTTTAAACGTAAAAATTTATTTATTTCAGCAAATGGTCCGATAAAAAATGGCAGCTAGATTCTTTAATTTGGATAAATCTAAGAATTCTCCAGCGGCTCGAGTATCGTTAGACATGGATTCCTCAGGTTTGAAAGCAATTTAATTATGTATATTTCCGGTCCCGGAAAAAGGACGGTAATCTCCTATAGAACGACAACTTAACCGCCNTTAGGTTAGGTTAAGATACTTTCTGGGCCGAGCGCTGCGGCTAGGATGGGCTAGGGGGCCGAGCGCTGCGGCCACGGGTTAGGTTAGTTAAGACACTTTCTGGGCCGGCGCTGCGGCTTAGGTTAAGTTAAGAAATTTCTTGTCAGCCCCATGTACAAAATTGATAGGAGGGGGGGGGGGTCCAAAATTCGTATACTAGGAAATTACCCGGCCCCCTAACCTGTCTTAGCCGCAGCGCTCAGCCCAGAAAGTGTCTTTAACTTAACCTGACCCGTGGCCGAGGCGCTCGGCCCCCTAACCTGTCTTAGCCGCAGCGCTCAGCCCAGAAAGTGTCTTTAACTTAACCTGACCCGTGGCCGAGGCGCTCGGCCCCCTAGCCTGTCCTAGTCGCAGCGCTCGGCCCAGAAAGTGTCTTAAGCTAACCTAATCCTAATTTAAAGAAAGTGTCTTAACTTAATCTAACCCGTGGCCGCAGCGCTTGGCCCCTTAGCCTGTCCTGCCTGCCTGTCTGATATTTTTCTTTCACTGAACTGATATTACCTGATATTTTTCATTCACTGAACTGATGGTTTGTAATTTAGTGTGGTAAATTTTGATCCAAGTTCAGCTGTTATTATGTCATTTACTTATGATCATTTAAGATCCATGTTTAACTGGTCAGTTTTAATCTATGTTTAACAGTCATTTTTAGTCAGTTTCTGGTATATTTCGATCTACATTTAAGTGTTCTTTTTGTCATTTAGAAAGATAAGTGAACAGTACTTTAAAAAAGTAAGTAAATAGTATATTTTGAATTAATTAATAATTTCAGCGGAGATATTTGGTGAGACTCCTGAGCCGAGCCCTGTAGCGACTTTAAACTCAGTGAGAAAGGTAATCGACATTACGTGGACTTTCCCTTTAAATCCTGTATGTAGCCAACATTACGTGGACAGTCCCTTTAAATCCTACATTTAGCCAACATTACTTGGACCAGTCCCTTTAGGTCCTATATTTAGCCAACATTACTTGGACCAGTCCCTTTAAATCCTATATTTAGCCAACATTACGTGGACAGTCCCTTTAAAATCCTATATTTAGCCAACATTACGTGGACAGTTCCTTTAATTCTATATTTAGCCAACTTTACGATGGCCAGTCCCTTTAAATCCTTTATTTAACCAACATTACATGGACAGTCCCTTTAAATTCTACATTTAGCCAACATTACTTGGACCAGTCCCTTTAAATCCTATATTTAGCCAACATTACGTGGACAGTCCCTTTAAATCCTGTATTTAGCCAACATTATGTGGACAGTCCCTTTAAATCCTACATTTAGTCAACATTACTTGGGCCAGTCCCTTTATAATTATATTTAGCCAACGTCACTTGGACAGTCCCTTTAAATCCTATTTTTAGTCATCATTACGTGGACAGTCCCTTTAAATTCTATATTTAGCCAACTTTAAGTGGACAGTCCCTTTAAATTCTATATTTAGCCAACATCACGACGTGCGGTCTCTGATATCACAAATCTGCCCTCAGGAGACCCGAATAGTACTAGGAAGGTAAACAACGAAAATATAATCAGGAGGAAAACTAGAATTGGATACCCTTAATACCAATCGACTGTCACATCACCCAGACAGAACAAACACGCTGAGAGAATATCAGAAATATGACGACGACATTTAAAAGATTATTTTCTTTATTGTTCCTGCGAGGTGGGGGCATTACAGTGAAACTATGCGAGGTGGGGAAACAAATTTTATTTTAAGCCACTTAAAAAATTTTAAATCTAAAAATTCAAAATTCGATTTTCATTATATTTTTTTAATTTTGAAAATTCGCGAAAATTTTTGTTAAAATCCGCAAGCTCGTTTTGTTTTACAATGAACACAAAGAGAACATGTTCACAATTAAAATAGAAGATGGGTGCGAAGCGCACTAAAAGCCTAGGATATAATCACAAAGAATGATAAGAAACTAATTGCATTTTAAATGTACATTGTACAACTATACTGGTGGTAATAGTAAACAAAACAGAATTTTGTAAACATTTACGTTATAATATGACACAACTTTGTATTGCAAGGGGTACTAATGTATCTTAATTGTACAAATATGTATCCTTTTGGCTTCAATAGACTTATAGAATGTCGTCTTCTGAATATATTCGAGCCTGGTGTTCAGTCTGGAATATGTGCTATGGACACTTAATTTCTGCTCTGGCTCAATCCGCTGTTTTTTTTTCGCTCTTGGATATCCCTACTGGATTCCGACAAATGAGAATTATCTCACTAAATGGCGCGGAAAACTTTCCGGGATTCCAACTAAATATTAAAATAATCTTAAGATTAAAAAAGAGAAGATCAAGCATTGATCTCTATATCTAAAATTTAAAAGTTTTCAGGTCAGGGGTAAAATGGTTTTGCAAACCCACCTTTTCTCTGTTTAAAAATTTTCTCAGTGTCAATTAAATGAAAAAGATTTTCTGAACAGGAAGAAAATAAGTATAAAAAGATGCGACAAGTTTAAGGGTTTATCATTGAAAGAGAATTTAGTATTATTTACAGTGAGAACCAGAAAACCTTGGAATAGAAAGACGACATTTAATCAATCTTTAAGTGTATTTGATGTTTTTCCAAACAGAACAGTTTTACTAGTAACTTTTCAATCCTTTATTTACTAAAATGTGTCTATGTAGACTGCACAATTGCCCAGTTTTATGTTTGTTGGAGTCTAAAAGTCGTCTTCCTATTCCACAGTTTTCTCGTTCTCATTTCCGTGTACCGATTTGAACCTTAGTTCCATTTAATCATAAGTTTTAGCCTCTAATCGTAAAATCTAAATAATAAAGCTCATATAAATATGTATGTATATATATATATATAGGTTAGCTATAGTTGGCCAAACGGTTGGACCAAATTGGCTGACATTTTTTAGGGAACCCATGGGTGCCCGGGGTAACTTTAACTAAAAGAAATCAAATTTTTTTTTTCAAAATTCGATTTTTTATTTCACAGACTAGTTATTTTATATATTAAGTTTTATTAAATCAGAAGTTTTTACCTCTGATCGAACATTATATTGTTTATTTAGCCAACTTCGCGAATTCCCGCTGATCCAACAGATTCTGGTATTTCTGATTCTGGCACTAAATCTAAATCTGTTACACCAGAGGATTATAGGCACAGATCTCCACAGGTATTTATTATTATTATTCTGGTATTTCTTATTCTGGCACTTAATCTAAATCTGTTACACCAGAGGACTAAAGGCACAGATCTCCACAGTTATTTTTATATTTTTATTCTGGTATTGCTGATTCTGGCATTATGCCTAAATCTGTTTTACCAGAGGACTATTGACACAGATGTCCAACGGTATTTGCTATTTTTTTCGGATTTTATTCGCTGAATTGGGAAAATCAATGAATTTTTGCGGATAAGTATCAAAAAGAGTAAAAAAGTTGCCTTTAAAGTCTTATTTTTTCATTTTTTCCCTTAATTATCTAAATCATTTTCCCCAATTCTGTAAATTATACAGTCTTGTACATCCCTGATATCTCGGGGTATATGTTTTTTAAAAATCATTTCCCCCCAATTCTGTAAAATATACAATCTTGTACACCCCTGATATCTCGGGGTATATGTTTTTTCAAAATCATTTCTCCCAATTTTATAAAATATACAGTCTTGTACACCCCTGATATCTCGGGGTATATATTTTTTAAAAATCATTTCCCCCCAATTCTGTAAAATATCCAGTCTTGTACACCCCTGATATCTCGGGGTATATGTTTTTTAAAAATAATTTTTCCCCAATTCTGTAAAATATACAGTCTTGTACACCCCTGATATCTCGGGTAATATGTTTTTTAAAAATCATTTCCCCCCAATTCTGTAAAATATACAGTTTTGTACACCCCTGATATCTCGGGGTATATGTTTTTTTAAAAATCATTTCCCCCCAATTCTGTAAAATATACAGTCTTGTACACCCCTGATATCTCGGGGTATATGTTTTTTAAAAATAATTTTTCCCCAATTCTGTAAAATATACAGTCTTGTACACCTCTGATATCTCGGGGTATATGTTTTTTAAAAATCATTTCCCCCCAATTCTGTAAAATATACAGTCTTGTACACCCCTGATATCTCGGGGTATATGTTTTTAAAAAGTCATTTTTCCCTAGAAGTTTGGTAACTATTTTTAGAATTTTCTTCGATCAACTGGGGAAAATATATGAATTTGGGGGGGGGGGGGAACCTTTTAAAAAAGAAAGAAAAAAAACTTTTTCTTCAAAATAAACAGCTACATTGCCTACTTTGTGAAAAGTTGATGGTCATGGTCAATTAAAAAGTTTTAATATGTATTTGTTTAAATCCACAATTAAAAAAAACATTTTCGAAGTTTTTAGTTAAAAGACGATGATAGCAAAAATGGTGTCAACATTAACGCTAGTAATAAATAGAGCCAAAAACCTAGTAAGTTAAATCCAAACAAATCTCGTGCTTTATGTTAAAGGGATTGTAAGTTTAAGTTACCCGTCGCGTCATGCCAAGATAGCGATACCTGAGAGACAACGCTACCCTTAAAAGCTTTATTTGATCGATAAATTGGAAGAAATGCGCAAGTCACTTACGTAGAGAAACCACAATAGAAAATAATTCATTTTCTAAATTATAAACATTGATATCTGATTAATACTTGATCAGACAACGGTACTGTTGTGAATTGGGCATTGCTATCTGGAGAATCACTTGGAAGTACACTTTCAAGAGATAAATAACTGTTATTTTCAGGTTATTTATGATAGTGAAGATGATGAAGAAACCGAGGAAGAAGAAGGAGAAGAAGATGTGTCTGAAAATGGGTCCGATGAAAATGAAAGTTTGCTCGTCAGCAGGAAAAAGGTACTTGTAAACCATAAACCTTATAAATGTATGGAACTTCTTAAAAATATATTGAATACCAGGGTTTTAAGTTTTCGAGCTAGATTTTTGAAGCATTAAAGAAAAAATAAAAATAAAATTTTAGATACTTTTCTCCATAAATTGCTTTACTTTTCCCTATTAAACGAATACCCCCCCCCCCCACCCCTCTCAAGAAAAATAAACTTAACATCAGGGAAAATGATTTGCAAAGGGGGGGAGGAATAAATGACGTTAGAAGAAGTTAAACACTGAATTTGATGACAACCGGTAAGAAATAAAAATGCATGTAAGAACTAAAGAACTAAAAGTTTTTAGCTTTTTATCAATTAAGATCTAACTGGTTCCTCTTATATCTTAAGGAGACAATATTTCATTTATTTCTGCCCTGTCACCTCATCTAATGAACTGCACAGTGTTTTCCAATTGAAATGTGATGTAAATTTAGCAATTAATTTTGATTTACGTCAGTTAACTAACTAATAAGTGTTAATTTTTAATAGTGGCCTTTGTATCCTACAAATTGTCGACATACGATAATTTTTGGATTTAGATTATATTTTGACATTCGTAATCCTCGTCAATTTGGTTTAGGAAAAAATTAATTTCTAAAATATGGTATAAATTGAACAAAAATTTGGTATTCTAAACTTTACTAACAGATTTCGGATCAATCATAATTTCAAATGATTTCTTAGGAAAAGTTATTTTAAGATTTCCTTTGTAGAAATCCACAATAATCAGCGATGATGAAGATGATGACGGGAACAATGATGACGAAAGTGATGATGATGATGAGAATCCTGGTAGTGATGAAAATGCTCCAAAAGAGGATTCAGATGTTGATGATGTGAGCGCGTTAGTTCAGAAAATAAAGGTAGGATCTATTTCATTTTGTTTTTTTAGTGATATTTTTCCCATTTGTACCATTTAATTTCATAATTTTTAGTGATATTTTTCCCATTTGTACCATTTAATTTCATAATTTTTAGTGATATTTTTCCCATTTGTACCATTTAATTTCATAATTTTTTCGGGAATATCATTCTCAGGGTTTTATCATAGGTTTAAAGTTTATCTGTATTTTTCCAATGGATTTTTAATTTTCAATCTAGTCTATAAATCTAAACCAAGCAGTCACTCTCTACTTAGTATAAAGAAAAGATTGTTAATTAAAAAAGATCATCGCTTCAAAAAGCCAATTCAAGGAAACAGCTCTAAGCTATCTGTCCCATAGCTTTGATTCTCTTATTTCTTATTCTGTGTTACAAGTAAGTAAAATATAATTGTATTGCAGGAAAATTGTGAATTGAAGTTTTAAAGGGACTGTAAGTGTAATTTCAAGTCACCCTGCATGCAAAGGTGGCATTGCCCGATTTCTGACTAAAAAAGTGTTTATTTTTCCATTGTTTCTTATAAGCTAGAAATGCGTATGTCACTTTCGCAGAGAAACCGCAAATGAAAATCAACATGTAAAACTAAATAAAACATTGATATTTAACTCATATTGATCAGACAACGCTTTTAAATGTACCATTGTAAATCGGACACTTTCTTCTCTGCATGTAGGGTCACTTAAAATTACGCTTACAGTCCCTTTAAACTAAATTATTTTATTCCAAGAGTTCCGGTGCTGCCAATATCGTCTCCAGCGACGACTCTGACGATAATGCACCAATTATAAAGTCTAAATCAAGTAAGTTTCTTAGAGGCGGGGGGGGGGGGGTATTTCTTTTCTGAACAGTAATTTTGTGTCAATGATATTTCTATACGATTAATGTATTTTTTACACAATTTAAGTTGTTTTTTAACTTGGAAAGTTAAAATGGATTAAACATCAAAAAAAATTAGAAAATTAATTATTATTATAATTTAGGATCAAGTAGACCTCGGCTTATTTCCTCAGATGAAAGGTTAGATATTTTCTCTTGGGAATTTAATGCTGTAGAGTGTAGAAACAATGAAGGAAACTGTCAGAATTTAATAATTTTAACATATTCTTGAATTTAGGGGGGGGGGGGGTAGTGCCCCAAGTTTCGTAATTTTTGGTGGTTTTATAGAACTTGCTCTTTTTTACCTCTCAAATGTAAGAGTAACAAAAGCCAATGACTTCTATTCAATTTTGTGAGATTTTTATCCCGCATTTTTACTCACAATTTCATTATCTTAGGTATAAAAAGTTTCTTATTTGTTCCGAGGCAAATAAGTAACATTTTACATCGGCAAAGCAGTTTTCCACTTTTATTTCGCGGATTTTAGTAAAAACTGTCTTGTGTTGTCACTTGTGAAATTATGTTATTTGTTGTGATTTTTACTTTTTTGTTTGTTTTTAGTTCAAATTCGAAATTTTTAATCACTCACTATTTAAACAAAAGAAAAAGTAAAAATCCCAGCCAATAAAGCATATTGTCTGGCATGATAACACAAGACAGTTGCAGAAATAGATATTTTCAACTCGCTTCACTTTTCATTCCTCATCTCAATTCTCTGAATATCATTTTCAAGTGAAATTATCCTTCTTTCTTACAGGGACTGTAATCCTAATTTCAATCGACCTTCTATGCAAAGACTTAAGATGACAATGCCCGATCAACAACGATACCCTTAAAAGCTTTAGGCGATCAAGTGTGAATTAGCTATTAATATTCTATGATTTTGCAACTGATATTTTCAATTGTGATTTCTTTAGTGATTGGCGCATTTCTACTGCATGGAAACAAATATAAAATTATCAGAATAAATACTTTTACTCCTAGAATAACGACAATATCTTCCACATTATTGACCAGATAAAGGTTGCAAGTATACTGTTGTGAATTGGGCATTGCCATCTTTGCCTGAGAGGTCATTTGAAATTACGCTTACAATCCCTTGAGATGACGTTCTTGTAAATTGTTTAGCTCTGACGAAACTATCCCTGGATCTGAATCCGATATCTCCTGTTTCAACCCCAGCCCGGAGAAGAATAAGTCGGGGTTAAAACCCAACCCGGAGAAGAGAAATTCAGGGTTTAAACCGAACCCGGAGAAGAGAAAGGTTGACTCTGACTCCGACGTGTATTTAACCCCACCTCCTGCCTCCTCTGACGAGGATGAAGTCTCCGGTTTGGTAAATACTTTAAAGGATCGGAGGAACCTAAATAGATCGGAGGACAGGAGGCAGCTTGTCGATAAGCCTAAGAAGGTGGTTGAAGATGAAGATATAATAGATGTGAGCTCTGATTCTAGTTCAGAAGACGAAATCAAAGAAGTTGTTCAACCATTAAGGTACGTTTGACCTAAATGGTTCATTTCCTCTCTTTCCTTCCGTACTCTAAAAAAAGTTCCCTTCCTAAAAAAGCCTTATGAGATCAAAAATTAAATGCAATTTTATTTTCTTTGGAAAACAAATGAAGGGGAAAACAGTTTCAAAATTAACACGCGTTTAAATCTTTAATTCCAAGCCAAGTTGAACAACACTTAATTACGCCATACATTCATAAAATAGTTCCAAAATTAACAGCCCATTTCTAACACTTGAGTGTTAAAAATGGGCAAAATCTGCAATATAAATCTTTAAATCCAAGCCAAGTTGAACAAAACTACGCTAAACATTTATAAAAAATGGCTAAAACTATATATTGAAACAAATACTGCATTTTAACTCATGTCGCAGTTTTTGGAACATATCCTGGGTTTTAGACAGTTACTCGAATTCATATCAATGTCATTTTTCAAGCATTTACGCACTTTCGTTACAAAACAAGATTTTTTGATAAGGTAAAATATAAACAAAATATAAAGTAAAAAAATATGTTCTTTGATAATTTAAAATCATTAAAGCATTGAGAAATCAAAATATTAATACTAATTTGTTCTCAAAAAACATTTAATTATAAATGCGGGAAATTGGTTATATAGAATGCGGAAAATTAAATCAACTTTATTTTCTTATTAACAAAAAAAGTGGGGAAATTAATTAATTTTGTCTTCATAAGATAATTTTTAATCTCAGTGACATATTTTTCAAGTTATGAAAGTGAGCTTTCATCTGAAAATCGGATTATACTGGAAAACGGGAAAGTTAGGTTTTTCTCGAAAACACAATGATTCAAAACCAGGATATGTTCGAAAATGGGAAACCTGACATTGTCTTGAAATTGGTCAATTGTTTCAATATAAATAGAACTCATTTTAAAATTTTTAATTAATAAAATAGTCTTAAATTGAGAATTGTTGTCATCGTCCTGCTTCATGAAATGTTTGTTATAGTTTTTATTCTCGACTTTTACTCTCGATAGTGTGAAAAATGGGTCAAGTGTTACGTTTTGGAACCAATGTCCCCTGAAATGATTTAATTAAAAAAATTAACTGATTTATAATTTTTGTTAGGGGGGGGGGGGGCTTTAAATACAATAGTAGTTTCTCACTAACTTATGATTACTACACGGTTGTTAATGTACATTATTACATGAAATGTACCGTTGTATTGTACAGGAAAGCCGAGTACACGGATAAGGACAGGAATGAATTAGAACAGCAGATTTTGACTCTAAAATCTCAGATCAGAGCTAATGAATTCATCCTTTCTTCAAGGTACAGTTCCAAGGCTCATGAAGTTATGAAGAAAATGAAACTTACTCTTGCATTGAATTGAATCTATATATACATTTGGCTTGTCTGTCTGTTTGTTTGTTTCCAATAAACGTCAAAACGGCTGAACCGATCGGGCCCAAATTTTTTTGTGGGACATCACGTGACCACAGGGAAGGTTTAGGAATGATAAAAATTAAAAAATGTGTTTTAAAGGTTTTTAATTTTGTAAAAAAAATTAAATTCTTGAAAATCCGCGAATTTTTTTTTAAGTCCGCAAAAAAATTTTCTTCTTTGTTTTAAAATGTAAACAAAAAGAACATGTTCACAATTTAAATAGAAGATGGGCGCGAAGCGCCCTGAAAGTCTAGTATTAATTGAATTTTCTTATTTTGCAAACATTATGTTTTTTTAAATTATAAAATTACTCAAGAACGTCTTCGACAGGATTCTTTATTTTAAACTTAATATTAATTTTTAGAATATAAATTTTGAAGTTTTAAAGCGTTAAAAAGTTTGATTTATCCTTTCAAACAGTCATCCTCTTATTGAATTTATTTCATCTATTGGTCGATTGATCAGCAACTGCCTCAACACCAACTGTATCTATTTGTACACGAGAAGGATGTATGTTGCAATGCAGCTGCTATAAATAGCTCTCTGTTTTACACATGTAGGAGTTACATCTTGTCATTTTTGTTGTTTTGTCTGAAAATATTTTCAGGGATGTTTATTTTCTCGAAAAATCACTACTATTTATAATATTTGTATTCCCCCAGAAGTTATTTATGTCTGTCTGGAGCGGCAACTCTTTTTGTTAGAAAATAAACGTTTTTTTTGGACAAAAGCTTATAAAAATTATAAACATCCATTAAAAAAAATATATGTACCCCTTAGTTTTAAAGTATTGCTTATATTTTGAATATAAATATGCAATTCAAATTCTTAAGTATTAATATTTTTTGTGAAGGGGCATAACCTACCTTACTTGTTAGGGTGTGTAACCTACATTACTTGTTTAGGGGGTGTAACCTACATTACTTGTTAAGGGTATGTAACCTACATTACTTTTTAAGGGGGTGTAACCTACATTACTCGTTAAGGGGGTGTAACCTACATTACTTGTTAAGGGTGTGTAACCTACATTACTTGTTAAGGGTGTGTAACCTACATTACTTGTTAAGGGTGTGTAACCTACATTACTTGTTAAGGGGGTGTAACCTACATTACTGGTTAAGAGGGTGTAACCTACATTACTCGTTAAGGGGGTGTAACCTACATTACTCGTTAAGGGGGTGTAACCTACATTACTTTTTAAGGGGGTGCAACCCACATTACTTGTTAAGGGGGTGTAACCTACATTTCTTGTTAAAAGGGCATAACCTACATTACTTGTTTACTTAAACTACATTACTTGTTAAGGGGGCGTAACCTTCATTACTTGTTAAGGGGGCGTAACCTTCATTACTTGTTAAGGGGGTGTAACCTACATTACTTGTTTACTTAAACTACATTACTTGTTAAGGGGGCGTAACCTTCATTACTTGTTAAGGGGGCGTAACCTTCATTACTTGTTAAGAGGGTGTAACCTACATTACTCGTTAAGAGGGTGTAACCTACATTAATTGTTAAGGGGGTGTAACCTACATTACTGTTAAGGGTGTGTAACCTACATTACTTGTTAAGGGGGTGTAACCTACATTACTTGTTGAGGGGGTGTAAGTAACCTACATTACTTGTTGAGGCGGTGTAGCCTACATTACTTGTTTACTTGAACTACATTACTTTTTAAGGAGACGTAACCTACCTAACTTGTTAAGGCGGCTTAAGCTACATTACTTAAAAAGGCGGCATACCCTACATAACTTGTTAAGGCAGTGTAACCTACATAACTTGTTAAGGCGGCGTACCCTGCAGAACTTGTTAAGGGGGCTTAACATACATTACTTGTTAAGGGGGCTTAACATACATTACCTTTTAAGGGGGCTTAACATACATTACTTTTTAAGGGGGCTTAACATACATAACCTTTTAAGGGGGCTTAACATACATTACTTTTTAAGAGGGCTTAACATACATTACTTTTTAAGGCGGCATAACATACATTACTTTTTAGGGGGGCTTAACATACAATACCTTTTAAGGGGGCTTAACATACATTACTTTTTAAAGGGGCATAACCTACATTACTTTTAAGGGGGCGTAACCTTCATTACTTCTAAGGGGGCGTAACCTACATTACTTGTTAAGGGGCCGTAACCTTCCTGACGGAGGAGCAAACCTAAAGGAAACTATTAGACAGGATGTTGCAAGGATGGGGAAACTCAGAGAGGTTCTGGGTAAAGCTGAGATGCAACGCTCAGTTAGCTCAGGTAAACATTTTAGCAGTAACTAGGGTTTATTTAGGAGGTGTTCATTTTGTGTCATTTCTGTCACTTTGATCTGGACTCGAGAGAGTTAGAAAGTTACTTACTTACTTGTTTACTTTTGTGTTGGTTTGCAGGAGACTTCTTGGTTCATGGTGTAAACGTCTTTAGTGTCCTCTGGAAACTTTGTGGCTCCCTCGCTATGTTATTCATCCCTAATAGCACATATCCAGGCTCCATTTTATTTTATTTTCTTAAAACTCAAACAAAGTAAAAGTTTGACACCAAAGATCAAAAATAAATTTACTGATGCCAAGAACTAATTTTTTCGTCTATTAGGTTACCTACCCCAGGCTCCGAGTATGTTTAAAACTCTCTCCGGCAGTAGTCTTCCATCCATCAATAATCTTCCACCAGAGGCACAGCTAGAGAGGTAGGTGGGGGGGAGGTATACAGTTAGTCTTCCATCCATCAATTATCTTCCACCGGAGGCATAGCTACAGAGGTAGGTGGGGGGGTTATATTTAGTCTTCCATTCATCAATTATCTTCCACCAGAGGCACAGCTAGAGAGGTAGGGGGGTGTATATTTAGTCTTCCATCCATTAATAATCTTCCACCAGAGTCACAGCTAGAGAGGTATGGGCGGGGGTATATATTTAGTCTTCCATCCATTAATAATCTTCCACCAGAGTCACAGCTAGAGAGGTAGGTGGGGGGGAGGTATACAGTTAGTCTTCCATCCATCAATTATCTTCCACCGGAGGCATAGCTACAGAGGTAGGTGGGGGGGGGAGGGGGTACATATTTAGTCTTCCATTCATCAATTATCTTCCACCAGAGGCACAGCTAGAGAGGTATGTGGGGGGAAGGTATATATTTAGTCTTCCATCCATCAGTAATCTTCCACCATGGTCACAGCTAGAGAGGTAGATGGGGGAAGGGGTATATATTTAGTCTTCCATCCATTAATAATCTTCCACCAGAGTCACAGCTAGAGAGGTAGGTGGAGGGGGTTTATATTTAGTCTTCCATTCATCAATAATCTTCCACCAGAGTCACAGCTAGAGAGGTAGGTGGAGGGGGTTTATATTTAGTCTTCCATTCATCAATTATCTTCCACCAGAGGCACAGCTAGAGAGGTAGGGGGGTGTATATTTAGTCTTCCATCCATCAGTAATCTTCCACCATGGTCACAGCTAGAGAGGTAGATGGGGGAAGGGGTATATATTTAGTCTTCCATCCATTAATAATCTTACACTGGAGTCACTGCTAGAGGTAGGTGAAGTATATATTTAGTCTTCCAACCATTAATAATCCTCCACCAGAGGCACGGTTTAAGATAAATCGGCAGGGTATATTTTTTTCTTCAAGAAATCACCCCCTCCCCCTTCTCAAAATCAATTTTCCTTCTAGCTTTATGTCGAAGCATTTTAAAGAAGTTTGTTAAAAAAATTATTTTTTTTGTAGGGAAGAAACCCACAAATACTTAATTCCTCTCCCACCAAGATGAATGTATGATTAGGGTCATTCCATTTCAAGTCCTGTATGTAAAAAATGCCTTTTTTTGACGACAAAATGTGCACCCTTCAGATGGTGGGTGAGGAGAGTAAAGGTGGGAGAGTGTTATGAATGCCAGAAACAAGCTTAAAACAATTGTTTTAATGGGAATCGATACCCATTTTGTATACCATGCACATAGAATAAACAAAGAGTGGGGGTGGGGTCTCTCTAAAAAACAGACGGTAGTTGGGGTAGTAAGGGTAGTTGCCATCAGATTCATTACAACATGTAAAAAATGTACTAAGATGACCCATAATGTAATGGTTGGCTACTAGCGCGCCGGTCAGAATGCTCCAATGTCTATTTTGACCTCGGAAATGAACTCCTTGTCCCAATTTTGCTATAGTTTGATGTATCACATGCAACTGTTATTCTAACTTGGGCCAAACTTAGCACATAAGTATTCAAAGATATTTTCTTTTATTCCGCGCGATCGCGGACATTTAAGCCTTTGGGGGTGAATTTTTTGAGCGCATATTTGTTTCAAGAGTGTCAGGATAAATGTTCAAGTGCAATTAATGAGGTTAAGAATGATTTACTGTAAAAAAGTCGTATTTTTTCACAAAAAGCACACTAAGATGACCAATAATAAAACTGCCGGCTACTGGCGCGCCGGTCAGAATGCTCCAATATTTATTTTGACCCCAGAAATGAATTCCTCGTTTCCAATTACCTATAAATCGACATACAACATGTAAAATCTGTGCTAAGATGACCCATAATGTAACTTCCGGCTACTAGCGCGCCGGTCAGAAGGCTCCAATGTATATTTTGACCTCGGAAATGAATTCCTTGTCCCAATTTTGCTATAGTTTGATGTATCTCATGCTACATTTATTCTGACGTAGCCAAACTTTGCAAATAAGAATTCAAAGATATTTTCTTTTATTGCGCGCGCGCGCGGACATTTAAGCCTTTGGGGGTGAATTTTTTGAGCGCATATTTGTTTCAAGAGTGTCAGGATAAATGTTCAAGTGCAATTAATGAGGTTAAATTTGATTTACTGTAAAAAAGTCGTATTTTTTCACAAAAAGCGCACTAAGATGACCAATAATAAAACTGCCGGCTACTGGCGCGCCGGTCAGAATGCTCCAATATTTATTTTGACCCCAGAAATGAATTCCTCGTGCCCAATTACCTATAAATCGACATACAAAATGTAAAATCTGTGCTAAGATGACCCATAATGTAACTTCCGGCTACTAGCGCGCCGGTCAGAAGGCTTCAATGTATATTTTGACCTCGGAAATGAATTCCTTGTCCCAATTTTGCTATAGTTTGATGTATCTCATGCTACATTTATTCTGACTTAGGCCAAACTTTGCAAATAAGAATTCAAAGATATTTTCTTTTATTGCGCGCGCGCGTGGACATTTAAGGCTTTTCAGGTGAATTTTTTGAGCGCATATTTGTTTCAAGAGTGTCAGGATATATGTTCAAGTGCAATTAATGAAGTTAAGATTGATTTACTGTCAAAAAGACGTATTTTTTAATAAAAAGCGCGCGCGCGCACTTTTGCTCAGATTCGTTCAAAACCAAAAAATGCATGTAATATACATAATTTTAAGCTCTCATGCAAAAAATTAGCCTCCTAGGACAATGCTAAGTTATGTTTATACACTGTTTAAATTTCCCGCAGAGTAATACGTGTTATGCCCCCCCCCTTTATGAAAATTAATATATATACAATTTTGTATAAAAGTAGTAGGTTTAAATAGATCAAATTCAGCAAATATGCAACCAATCTGAAAACGATGATATCCCAGAGAAAGCTAATTGTAAAGTAAAGATTTACTCCAATTCTAATTTTATATTTGTTATTTTTATTTTTAATAGATTTAATTCATAAAATTATTTATCCTCTGCCATTGGTGATAGTTCTGGTCACGTGATTTAAGTTTAAGATTTTCTAAATTTTACATACATGAACTTTCGTATAATTTTAACACAGTTTTATATCAATTTCTCGAGACAGGAACATCATATATAACTTTCCTGGGTCGCGATCAAGAGCTAAAGTGATTAGCTTTCAGCCTATACCCCCTTTCATTTTTCCTTTACAGTCCCTTTAAGACAAATATCTGAGGTGTAAAATTAGACTTACACTGAAATATTTTAAAATCAGTCATACACACATGCAATTTTTAGTGTACAATATTTGACAAAAATTCTGAATTGATGGTCTGCAATTATAATTTTGGTCACTTACTCACATAAAAGTATCAAATATTTCAATATTAATCAATGTTTAGGAGAGATAAAAATAACTAAGCAGAAATACTACCTTTTAGTTATATCCAGAAATTCAAATTAGCTTTACATTTTCAGGTCTCCTTTATCAACAGAAACAAATACATTTAAAAAAAAAACTTATCTAACCCCTTCCTTTTGGCAGTATAAAAATATAATAAAAAAAATCAACACAATCGGAATTGGTACTCATCCGCAAAGGAGGCTGAAAATAAAAAATGCAATTATGACCTGTAAATAATATTTTAATGATTTTTTTCTTTGAACAGCTAATACAAGCTTGTGATTACCTATTCAAAACTGAAAAAAATTTCGGAACTATCTTCAATAACAAAAAAGTTAGAGCTATTTGAAATATAGAGGCCGTCCTCGAGATCTCGAAATATCAGAAACTTTCTGGAGCCATATCTCCGGCCTCGAAGGTCTCAGAACGCTCATTTTCGGGTTCCGGGATATTTTTTTTCATACCCCAAGCTTTATGCAAAGTTTCAGCAAAATCCGTGAGATGCCGTCCACAGGTGGTTGACTTGACAAGGAATGACCCATTAGCGAGAGAACTAAAACTAGAACTAGACCTTGTCTGCATAGTTCCACTACTTTTCCTTATCATAAAATCTGGTCCTTGAGTTCCTTTAACAAATGAAAAAATGAACTTCTTAAATGTAAATTTTCATCCTTTTGAATTAATTTGTTAAAAAAGTTTTCATTTTTCTTCTTTAAAATAAAATAAACAAAGCTTTCAAAGTTACAAAAAAGGATGAAAGTATTATCATTCATATGACTCACTAAAACCCCTTGACCGATTTGTCTCGAATTTTCATTGGGGAACTTTGTAGAACAACAGGAAAATTGTAAGTTGAGTGTGTTTCCTAGCTAGCATTTCAAAAAAATCAGAATATCAAATGCCAAATGTTTAAAATCTTTCAATGATCAAAAAAATGTACGCTAAACAGTTAGGACAAATATTTTTTTTCAAAAATATTATACAATTTTACAATGAAGTTAATTTTAAAGTTTAAGGTATTCTTAAACATATTTTTATGATAAAACGTCTGTAAACTGTAAGCTCTCTCTTTCATGCAATCTTTTTTTCTTCTTTCTCTTCTCCTTTCTTCTCTTCTTTTTTCTCTTCTCTTCTTCTCTTCTATTTTCTTCTCTCCTCTTTTCTTCTTTTTTTCTTCTGTTTGTTCTTTTCTTTTTCTTCTCTTCTCTACTCTTCTGTTCTCTTATCTCTTTTCTTCTCTTCTCTACCCTTCTGTTCTCTTATCTCTTTTCTTCTCTTCTCTACTTATCTGTTCTCTTATCTCTTTTCTTCTCTTCTCTACTTATCTGTTCTCTTATCTCTTTTCTTCTCTTCTCTACTCTTCTGTTCTCTTATCTCTTTTCTCTTCTCTACTCTTCTGTTCTCTCATCTCTTTTCTTCTCTTCTCTACTCTTCTGTTCTCTTATCTCTTTTCTTCGCTTCCCTTATCTCTTATCTTCTCCTCTTTGTTTTCTCTTTGTTGTTGACATTTAACCGGTTTTGAGGTGAACAATGCAGTACAATCCATAGTTTTGATTTTTCTCTGATTTGTTTACATTTTTAGCTTGTAGACTTAATTGAAACATACTGCGTTTTTACAACATAATTAGGCATTTGATCATTTTCTATTTGCTATTTTGATATTTTTGCGATAGCATTATTATATTTTCATGTTTTAACATTTTTATATTTTCACATTATTATATTTGAGGGCGAAGAAAAAGAAGCTTGATCTACTGAACAGTCTGAAGTATGCATCTAAACTACATGACGGAGGAGAAAAGATGAGGTTTGTGTTGCCATGTACACTGTACAGGTTGAGGTTGAATTTGAGATAATGTTGTTAAAGGGACTCAAGTGTAATTTTAAATGCAAATGCAAATATGTCAAATTTTCAACGGTAACCTTAAAACCTTAATCAGATCAAAAATGTGCGAGATACTATCGTTTTTCTGACTTGAACAGAGCTGAAAACTTAAGAATGAGATATCCCTTATCTCATTTACTTAATCCGAGTATCCCATGGACACACTTCTGATTTTCTTCCTTAACCGTTCTTTCTTTGATATAGCAGAGAAAAATCAAAACCGGTTTTTAAAATTAGAGAGTTTCTCCCATAAATCTAAAATGGTGCGCAAAATTTCAAGCTTATCGACTTCATATACGCGATTGGTCGAATTTGATACACTTTTAGGATACAAGCACAAGATTAGGTTAGTCTCGATATTCAGAAAAAGAGAGGATCATTAATCTCGATATTTACCATTCTTAAGTTTTCAGCTCAGTGCTTATTTCTGTGAATTTCTCCATTATTCTTAAAAGTCGCTTTTGCATAGAAACCACAAATGAACCAGTTTGAATAATCAAAAATTTGCATTTCTTTTATCAGCCAAAGCTTTCAGGGGTTTATATTAATTGTGAGACTCATATTTTTGCCCCCTTTCCTTTTCAGAATCATAATTTCCCCTAAATTAACAACTTAAAAAGTGTTCTATTAACAGGTTTCTGAAGCCCACGCAATCTTGGAAGAAGTTTGTGCTGCGGCGGGGGGTGCAGGGCGGGCAAAGCCCCCTGCACAGAAAATTTTCGATTTTAGTAGAATAATGGAGCGTTTTGGTGCCCTAAAAGGTCAACTTCAAGGTCTTCCCTGAGATTTTTTAAAAGCATTTCTGATACTGTTTTTTGTAAAAAAAAAAAATTTTTGCTGTATTTTTCCCTTCCCTTTTTCCCTCTTCCTTTCTCCACTTTTTCCTTTTCTCTTCCCTCCTTTTTCATTTTCTCTTTCCCCTTCCCCTTTTTCTCTTCCCTCTTGCCCCTTTTCCTTTCCCTCTCGCCCCTTTTCCCTTCCCTCTTGCCCCTTTTCCCTTCTCTATTGCCCCTTTTCCCTTCTCTCTTGCACCTTTTCCCTTCTCTCTTGCACCTTTTCCCTTCCCTCTTGCTCTTTCTCCCATCATTCTTGCCCCTTTTCCCCATATCTCTTTACCTTTTCCCTTCCCTTTTCCTCTTTTCCCTTTCCTCTTCACTTTTTCTCTTCCCTTTTCCCTTCTCTCTTGCCCCTTCTCCCATCCCTCTTGCCACTTTTCACATATCTCTTCCTCTTATCACTCTCCTCTTCCCCCTTTTCTCTTCCCTTTTCCCCTTCCCTTCCCATTTTTTTTCTTTTTTCCTCATTTTCCCCCCAAACCCAATGAAAGCTCATATTTTTGCCCCGGGGGGGGGATGGGCAAACAGAAAAATATACACCCCTGAAAGCTTTTCAGGTTTCTGTTGTAAATCGGGCACTGCCATCTTTAATCGAACAAGTTGGAGCAGATATGGATGATCATTCTTTGATCGATTCTTTGATTGCTTGATTGAGTGAATGATTGATTTTTTCATTGGTTAATTCATCATTCATTCATTCATTCATTCATCCTTTTACTGATTGATTGATTGATTGATTGATTTATTGATTTATTCATTGGTTCATTGATTTATTCATTGATTCATTGGTTTATTCATTGATTTTTTCATTGATTTATTCATTGCTTGAGTCGTCGATTCATTAATTCATTGATTCATTGATTCATTGATTCATTGATTCATTGATTCATTGATTCATTGATTCATTGATTCATTGATTCATTGATCCATTGATTCATTGATTCATTGATTCGTTGATTCGTTGATTCGTTGATTCGTTGATTCGTTGATTAATTGATTGATCTAGGGAGAAGTTGGATGAGGTTGAATCAGAGATCATGAAACTAACTAAACAAGTTGGAGCAGATAATCCAAACAAACCAGTTTTTGGGGCTGGAACCACTTCAGCAGCAGCTTCATACACAAACCAGGTCTTCATTTTATTATGATTTTCAATGGATTGGGGATCGGATCAGAACGGATCGGATTGGATTGGATTGGATTGGATTGGATTGGATCGGAGTGGATTGGATCGGTTTGGATCGGTTTGGATCGGTTTGGATCGGATCGGATTGGATCGGATTGGATCGGATTGGATTGGATTGGATTGGATTGGATTGGATTGGATTGGATTGGATTGGATTGGATTGGATCGGATCGGATCGGATCGGATTGTATGTGGGGGAATGCGATTCGTAGTGATGCGATCAATCTTTTTTTCATTTATTTTACCTACCCCATTTTACTTATTTATTTGTATGCGGCAAAAAATCTTTTTGACGCTTTTGTGTAATTTGATATTTTGGCTTTTGATATTTTGACTTGATATTTAGGCTTTTGTTATCTAAATTAAGATCAGGACAATGCATTTAATAATTTTTTTGAGTCAATTGATAACTGCTTCGAATGTTCATTCCCTGAAAAAAATGTAAATCCTCCAGAAAAAATAGACCTTTTAAGCCCTGGATGTCTAAAGCACTGATAATATCGAGAAAACGTAAAGCCAAATTGTTTAATAAAAAGTTGAGGAAACCCTGTCAGGAAACTAAATCTAG